AATTTTTGAACATTATATAAATAAAAAATGTGTGGTTAAAAAATTAAAAATTTTGAATTTACATATAATATTATTTTATTAAAAAATATGTGATTGAAATGATATCAAAATACTGAATAAGAATTCATTTTTTTTCAAAGAATGTGAATCAAACGAGGACTAAATACAGTTAATAAATATTATAATGTCAATTTGGTCCATAAAGAATTTCGCGGCAAAAAAGCAAAGATAAGATATAAAATCAAGAAAGAGATTTCGATTGGACCCTCACAAATCATATGGGGCTTCAACTTGCACTTTTGAAAAGGTATTGTCTGCCACGTGGTGGTTGTTTGTTGCGGAATTACACGTGTTAAGCTGTGGTTGTAGATCAACAGCTAAGCAGAACACAACTTGCTGAAAGCGACGTCGTATTTGAATAACCAAGTGGAAGTTAAAAGTAATGATTAAGTCGTGCGGGTTACCTTCACGTCTTGTCAAATTTTTCTGTTTATCAAGTGGGTCGGGACTTGCTGTGAACCAAGATTTTGTTGGGAAAATTGTGAGGGAAATTTTTGTCTTTAAGAAATTAAACTCCTGTTTATTTTTCATTTTATTTTCATTAAAATAAAAAATATGATCGCTATTTATCACATTAAATCACTATATTTGAATTTCTATCTCTTATATAGGGCCCATAATAGCTAATTTTTCATTCTCACTTTTATAAAAATGAAAAACAAACACCCCCTAAATATAATCCATGTCAAAATTAATTTCAAAAATCAGATTTTAATTAATTTTTATTTATTAAATACTTAATTAAAATATATTTTATTATTTCAATGTATTAAGGTCACAATTCTATATTATTTAGTCACAAATTATTGAATTAACTGGTGACAGATTATTTCTCAATCATGAATCAAAATTTTAGAGATCACAAATTATTTACTTCACAAACAAAAAATTTTAAAGGTCACAATTTATTTATCGGTTACAAATTAAAAAAATTATAAGTTACAAATTACAAATTTTATAAGTCAGTATTTAAATTTTTAGATCACATATTATTTATTAGTCCTAAAATATCCAATTTATTGGTCACAATAACTAAATAATTTGTCACAATCTCCCTTTATACAACCCCAATCCAATACAGCCTCATCACCACCACCACCACCAAAACCACCATCTCACTACCATCGCCCTACTAAGAATCAAAACCACCATCTCCACCACACCACCACCAACCAAAATTTCTCCAAACCTACCATCGCCGTCGCCATCATCACAACCTTCGTAGCCGATCCACAACTATAGCTATCGCCACCACCATCTCACCACCACCCCCGCCTGCTAAAATTCACCATCTCTTCCACCTTTACCCCACCACACCACAAACATACCCCCACCAACAAAATCCCTAAACTTGCGGTCACCATCTGCACTTTCAAACAAATCAACCTCCAACTCTGGCTACCACAAAATCAGAGAAAGAAAGAGAAAATAATTTTTTGTAACGATCACGACGTTTGGCCCATCGACTGGGACGGTTGATCGCTACTGATATCATCACCTTTGCTAGTGCGACAATTGGCACATCGACTCGCCATTGTATTGTACGCAGCGGCACTCGAAAAGTCGATCACCGTTGGCAATACCATCACCCATGCAGAGGTACCATCATCGCAGAGCTAAGCTGTGGTGATACCATTGCCATTGCACACGATAGCCTACCCATCGACTCCGACAGGTTGTGCATGTGTGAGAGATGGCGATGGTTGGTTGGTTATGTTGAATTAGGTAGCATTTTAGGGTTTTGCGTGGGGGGGGGAGAGAGAGGAGATGAAAAATTAATTAGGGTTTGGGATGAAATTTGTATTATAATATTTAATATTTAAATATGAAATATCTGATTTTTGAATAATGAAACGTTCACCTTAATTTTAGAATATTGATCTTTAAAAGCAGGGTGATATGTAAGTTCCATAAATCTTAATTTGTTATGTGGGCCTCTATATGTAACTAATCGTGTTGAAGGCTATTTAAAATTAAGTCCAAAATTAAAGTGATATAATAAAGAATTAATTTGTTGGGTTTAGAGTATCTAAATAAAGTGTGGTTTGGATTTTATGTGTAGAAATCAATTTTCTTTATAATTGTATTTTTTGATGGACGAAATACATATAGAAATTATATGTAGTGTTATGGTCCCCAATTCATATGCAATTTTTCATTCTTTATGTCATCCTATCAATACAAGAGTACAAGAGAAAGCATATTAAAGAAGAAGATCCAATACCCACAATCAATAATCAAGAAGAAGTAATTCAAGAATCAAGATTATGGATTAAGAAGTAAAAACAAGAATAAGAATTAAAGAATCAAATAAGGCAAATTTCAAGATTATAAGTGAAGAAGCTAAAGATAAAAAGATTGCAGCTCAAGATTGATGATTCGGAATCAAGATCCAGTAATAAAGAATCATTCAAAAAGAATTAATGTATGTTCTGCATTATTAATTTTCTTGGTGATTTGACATAGAGGATCTTGATAATAAAGGAATTTAGGTTTTTTAAGTTCTAAAGTTTCTAATTTTTAAAGTTTAAAATTTCAACAAGCGGTATCAAACCCGACTCAATGTTAAACCATTGTGATTAACGAAAGAATTTTGTGGTTGAAATTTATATATTGAGTTTTTGAATCTTTTTAATTTGGAATATCAATTTTAGTCATAAATTTTGAAATTCAGAATTTTTCAAGAAAGAATTTTAAGGTTAAAAGTTATAATTTGGATTTTCCAATTTAAGATATAAATTTTAACCCTAAAATTCAAAAATTCAAATTTTTTTCGGATTTTTCGAAAATTATGGTTCAAAACGGCTGCCATAGCACTTACGGCAC